GCACTATCTAGCTGAGAAGTTTGCTTAGTTGGAACTGATTGTTCTGATGTGATAGGTGCTTTTGAATGCACGGTATAAATTTTAAAGCACAGAGAAATAAATGTAAATAGACATATTTGGAACCAAAGGAGTATTGTGTATATTTTAAATAAAGTGGTATGTCCTCTTCAGTAGACCTTTTAATTAGGCTATGTCTAGACTGCCCCCTCTTGCGCAAAAAATATGCAAATGAGATAGTGTGGAATATAGCTGTGCCTCATTTGCATAATTAATGAGGCTCCATTTTTGCACAAGAGGCTTTTGTGCAAAAAGGAGCTGTCTACATGTCTTTTTTGTACAAAAACCCCCACTTGTGCAAGAACCATTCTTATGCATTTTTTTCAGGAAGAACGGCTGTTGTGCAAAAACCTCTTGTGCAAAAATGGAGCCTAATTAATTATGCAAATGAGGTGCGGCGATATTCCATGCTTCGCGTCATTTGCATATTTTTTTGCGCAAGAGGATGCAGTCTAGACATAGCCACAGGGTTTGGTTAGATTTAGATTTAGCAGCTCCATGAATACCATTCTTTTGTCATTTCCTGCCTGTCTGGCACCCAGCCTAGGTTAATGCTATTATCATAGGTGCACCTGTAGCTCACACACATAGTGGATGTGGTTCACTGTACCATGTAGTGGCACTTAGACCACTTGCAGTGAGAGATAAGAATGAGTGAACTCTACAGCCTAAGTTAAGAGGCAGTTGGCTTTATAGCTCACGTTGTAGCGGCTTCTACTCTAAGCTCAAGGTCCCAGGTTTAATCTGCCGGGAGGTGGTTACACACCTTCAGAGCTTTTTCTCATTTTGTCTAGAGTTCTGACTACTTGTAAGAATTAAAAATGTCTTTTCATACAAGCATGATTTTTAATCACTATCTAGATCAGATCACTCTTGAGATTAGATTTTATTAGAGCCAGACCTTTGCTTTCTTCTGGCTGCAATTAGATGCTTCTATTATTTGGATTGAAATAAGAGGTTGATCTCTTTATTGCTATGATCATTAGCATGTATATCACAGATTTATAACAGTCAGTGAAGCAACTGTCTCTACTGCCAGTGATTTATTTTTACTGAATTTTCATGACCCAATCCAAGGATAGTGATATACTGCTGTTAAATTATTTGGTTCCAAGGTTTAGAAAGAAGGGCAATATGTAAGCAGAGGCTCAGTTGCTGATTGAACTAAGTGGAAGGCACTGTAAATCCAACAAGTCTTTACTGAAGACATTTAAGCTTCATCTAACTACAGTTTCCGCTGTGTCAGGAATAAGTTTCAACCATGTCCACTCCTTTCCCAACTGGGAGGGACAGGGCAGGGCAGACAAGGAGCAGAATGCTCCCACCTCCACCCCCCAGCCCTGTCAGAGACCTGGCATGCAGCTCTGAAGAAGTGAAGTGGGGCTGGTAGTTCTGTTCCTTTTACCACAGAACTCTGCCCTGCCCCCCAGTCCTGTACATAGACAGCTCCTCCTTTCTCCATTGGCTCCTTTTCCCTTCATCTGTCATACTGCTCTGAGTCCCATCTCCTCCCAGGTAATATGCAATACGGGGGCAGAGGGTGCAGCAGAGGAAAAGAAGAACCTGGGTGTCCCGAACTAGGGGCAGGGTGGGGCAGGGGGTGCAGCAGAGGAGAAGAAGAACCTGGGTGTCCCGAACTAGGGGCAGGGTAGAGTTCTGAGGAGGGGGGCATTACGTGGAGAGTCACATGGCCCTCCTCTTCCTATGCCAGCAAAATCTTTTGTTTACTTGCACCGCTGGAGGAAGTACAAGGAGAAGGGTTCAACAGAGGAAGCCTCAGAATTTCTACTGAGAAAGAAGGGCAATTGCTAGTTATCTTATGTGCCTGTACATGATCACAAGAAGCCTGGGAAACAAACAGGAAGAACTGGAAGTCCTGGCACAGACAAGGAACTGTGATGTGACTGGAATAACAGAGACCTGGAGGGGTAAGTCACATGACTGGAGCATTGTCATGGATGGGTATAAACCATTCAGAAAGGACAGGCTGGGTAGAAAAGGTGGAGGAGTTGCACTGTATGTAACAGGGCAGTATGATTGCTCAGAGCTCCAGTATGAAACTGAAGAAATGCCTGTTGAGAGTTTTGGGATTAAGATTAGAGGCCAATACGACAACGGTGATGTCATGGTGGGCATCTGCTATAGACTACCAGACCTGGAAAACGAGGTAGACAATGTTTTCTTCAGACAACTAACAGAAGTTTTCAGATCACAGATCCTAGTTTTCATGGGGGACTTCAATCACCCTGACATCTGCTGGGAGAGCAATATAGCAGTGCGCAGACAATCCAGGAAGTTTTTGGAGAGTGTTGGGGACAATTTCCTGGTGCAAGTGCTGGAAGTACCAACTAGGAGTCAAACATCTATTGACCGTCTGCTCACAAACAAGGAAGACTTGTAAGAAGTAGAAGTAGGTGATAACCTGAGCAGCAGTAACCATGAGATGGTAGAGTTCAGGATTCAAACAAAAGGAAGAAAGGAGACTAGCAGAATGAGAACACTGAACTTGATACAAGAAAACTTTGACTCCCTCACGGAATTGATCCGAGGATTCTCTGGGAGGCTGAGGAAGAAAGGAGTCCAGGACAGCTGGCTTAGCTGTATTTTAATGAAGCCTTATTAAGGGTATATCTAGACGACATCCCTCTTGCGAAAAAAAGGGATGTAAATTAGACATATTGAAAGTTCAAATGAAGCTGGGATTTGAATCTCCTGAGCTTCATTTGCATAATTGCATCACAGCATTCTTTCAAAAAACGATATTTTGGAAGTGAAACTGTGGTATAGGTGCAATTCTTTTGAAAAGAAAAGCCTGAGGAGTACAGGATCTTTCTAAAAGGCCTTTTCTATTTGAAAGAACTGCATCTAGATCGCGTATTCACTTTTGAAACAGCGTTTTTTGAAAGAACACTGTGACACAATAATGCAAATGTAGCACGAGAAATTCAGATCCCGGCTTCATTTGCACTTTCGATATGTCTAATTTGCATCCCTCTTTCGCAAGAGGGATGTAGTTTAGACGTACCTTTTGAGTGCAGGTACAAACCATCATGGTGTACAGAAAGAACAGAAGAGATGGCTGGTAACTGGCTTGGCCTAAATGAGAAATCTTAGGTGAGCTTCATCACAAAAAGGAGACTTACAAGAAATGGGAACTTGGGAGGAGTATAAAACTAGGGAGGAGTATAAAAATATTGCTCAAGCATGCAGAGATGTGAAGTATAACAAGAAAGGTTTCTACACATACGTAAGCAGCAAGAAGGTCAGGGAAAGTAAGGGACCCTTCTGAATAGGAAAGGCAACCTAGTAACAGATGAAATGGAAAAAGCTGAAGTACTCACTAATTTTTGTGCCTCGGTCTTCACAGACAAGTTCAGCTCCCAGACTGCTGCACTGGGCAGCACAGTATAAGGAGGAGTTGAGTAATCCTCAGTGGTGAAAGAACAGATTAAGAACTATTTAGAAAACCTGGATATGCACAAGTTCACGGAGTCAGATCTATGCATGAGGGTGCTGAGAGAGTTAGCTGATGTGATTGTGGAGATATTGAAAACTCATGGCGATCAGGGAAGATCCCGGACAACTGGGAAAAGGCAAATGTATCTGTCCATCTTTAATAAAATGGAAGAAAGAGAATCTGCGAACTACAGACTCACCTCAGTCCATGGAAAAATCATGAAGCAGGTCCTCAAGAAATCCATTTTTGAAACACTTGGAAGGGAGGAAGGTGATCAGGAATAGTCAACATGGATTCACCAAGGGCAAGTCATGCCTGACCAACCTAATTGCCTTTTGTGATGAGATAACTGGCTCTGTGGATATGGGGAAAGTGGTGGATGTGATATACCTTGACTTTACCATAGCTCTCGATATAGTTTCCCAAAACATTCTTGCCAGAATGTTAAAAATGTATGGCTTGGATGAATGGACAGGAATCTGGCTAGATCATGAGTCTCAACAGATAGTGATCAACAGGTTGGTGCCTAGAGGGTAGCGTGTATCAAGCAGAGTGCGCCCGGGCTCAGACTTAAGGCCAGTTTTGTTCAACATCTTCATTAATGATCTGGATGATGATATGTATTGCACCCTCAGTATGTTCGCAGATTACACTAAGATTCAGGGTGAGACAGATTTGCTGCATGGTAGGGATAGGGTTCAGAGTGACCTAGACAAATTGGAAGATTGGGCCAAAAGAAATCTGATGAAATTCAACAAGTCCTGCACTTAGCATGGCAGAATTCCATGCACTGTTACTGGCTGGGGACCAACTGGCTAAGCAGCAGATGTCCAAAAAAGGACCTAAGGATCATAGTAGACAAAAAGCTGGATATGAGTGAGCAGTGTGCTTTTGTTGCCAAGAAGGCTAATAGCATATTGGGCTGCATTAGTAGGATCATCGTCTGCAGACCAAGGGAAGTGATTATTTCTATTTGGCATTGGTGAGGCCACATCTGGAGTGTTGCACTGAGTTTTGAAGCATTACCCCACCACCACTACAGAAGGGATGTGAACAATTTGGAGAGACTCTAATGGAGGACAACAAAAATGACTGGGGCGGGGGCTAGGGTGCATGATTTATGAGGACAGGCTGAGGGAACTGGGCTTATTCAGTCTGCAGAAGAGAAGAATGAGGGGGAATTGATAGCAGCTTCAGCTACATGAAAGAAGGTTCCAAAGAAGATAGAGCAAGGCTATTATCAGAGGTGGAAGACGACAGAGCTAGGAGCAATGTCTCAAGTTGCAGTTGGGAGCGGTCTAGGTTGGATAGTAGCAAAAACTATTTCACTAGGAAGGTGGTGAAGCACTAGAATAAGCAATGTCTCAAGTTGCAGTTGGGAGAGGTCTAGGTTGGATAGTAGCAAAATCTATTTCACTAGGAAGGTGGTGAAGCACTAGAATGGGTTACCTAGAGAGATAAGAAATCTCCATCCTTCTATGATTCTGTGATTTCTCTGTTTATACTCCAGTTGTCCCAATCCAGTTATGATACTGTTCCAATTTGAAGTGTTAATAAGACTTAACTTTTATTTATCCAGGGCTTTACTATTGGTCAGAGGATGTTTTTAAAAGAGAATTTGGCCTACAAAATGGAGCCATATCGTAACCAAATTCCTCAGCACAGTTTTATTTGTAGGGTAGATGGTACTTACCTTACTATTGCAAGAGACAACTTGTTGCTTGGAAAACAAACCACCTACCAAATTAATTACATTTACTTTTAGGGCCATGTGAAAGAATTTCTTGTGACCGAATTAATATTTGGGTTTAAAAATATCATAGCAGACTTACCCAGTGCTGCCCATGTCCTTTGCTCATGGGTCTGATGCTGTGGGTGGTGCAGAAGTCAGGGCAGGGCATTGGAGATGTGGGGGCAGTGCAGGAGGCTGAAAGAGGAGGGGATGAGAGTGAGGATTGGGAGATGAGGAGGAGCTCAGGATGGGGTCAGTCCTGACCTACATAGACCTTTTCTCCTCCTCCAAACCCACCAGCCGCCAGAGGCATTTTCTCTCCTCCCACCTCCCACCCTTGGCTGCCAGGGGCATTTTCTCTTCCCTCAGCTCTGCCCCCCAGCCACCAGGGGCCTCCCTCACACCACTGCTATGGCAAAGGCTTGCGCGGTGGGGAGCATTTGGGACAGGCAGGCTACTTGCTTCGAGTGCTGGCAGGCAAGATGGTGGAACCCCAGCTCTGCTGTCCACTCCCTTGGTGGTATGGATGTCCCCAGTGTGAGCTCTGCTGTATAGGTCTCCCCTGCAGACTCGCTGTCCCTAGTGTCGCATCCCTCCGGACAGCAGCCCCTCCCTTTGCATGTTATAGAAAATAGTCCTTTTCCCAGGGCTTCCAGTTGTCCTGGCACAACCAAACCCCAACCTTCCTTTAAATTAGGAGAAGAGCAAGCTGCATACCAAATTTGGTGGCCCTAGCTCCTAGGAGGAATTCTTGAACAACTCACTTGCAGACAGACACACTCAAAATATATATTTATTTTATATATAAAAATATATTTAAATAATTGACTAGTGACTACATAGTCAATTTCATGTTTACAGTGCAAACTAAACCCCCTGCTTCCAAATTATTCTGGCCAGATGGACATGAGTTATTAAAAAAAAAGCTTGGATAAAGGGTATTTTTTGATCCAAACATCAGTTTTAATATGAAATTGTAATATGTGTCTTACAGAAGAATAAACACTCATCACAGAAAAGTCAATTAGAAAGATGTCTAACTGTGTATTTCTAATTATCCTATCTTCTCTTTCTGAGCACAGATATCTTGGAAGTCTAGCAAGTGTGGTGACTAAACAACACATGCAATGGCTGTGGGATTTCAGTGGAAGGAAGCCCTTTTGGATAGGCAAGTATACAAAACATTTTGTAAGTATGTTTGTCCCCTGGAGGGCACTAGTGCCTTTATATGGGCTTTCCTTGGGAAATGTATAAAAGGAAATGTGTAAAGCACCTATGCAGTTCTGCATATATTTATTTTAGAGAGGTATTTCATCTTTATTCTGCCCTCTCCTGGATGCTGAGTTTAATGTTAGTGCAATTCCAATGACCTCAGTGGTTCAAAGCTGTTGTAATGGAATGGAGAATCAGGTCCAACAAATTTTGTGAGTTCACATATTCCCATCTTTGCACCTTGTCTAGACTAGGAAAACAAGATGTGTCTTAATATGTTAGCTAACATTATTTTAAACACTGTTTATGTGTTTGGGGTGAACCAACTAACATTTTAACGGTGATAAGCTATACCTGCACTATGTGAAATGAAATGCTTAAAATTATTAGCCAACATCTTTTCAGATATGAAATATTTTCTTTGTCTAGACAAGGCCTGTATGAATGTTAAAAAACTGACAGTAATGTATTTTTACAGGGAGGTAAAATTTGAAGCTGCATTCTTGAACAGAATGTGCTTACCAGGAACATGAAGGGCACATCTACATAGCAGGGCTAAAGCTGAAATTGGTTATGCAACTTGAGCTACGTCAATTGCATAGCTTAAGTTGAAATAGCTTAATTTAGCTTTTGGTGCTGTCTACACAGCAGGAAGTCTGAGAAAAAGCACTCTTCCTCTGACTTCCCTTACTCCTCATAAAATAAGGGTTACAGGAGTCAGAGTTAGAAGTCTTCCAGTTCGCCATTATTTTGACATTATGTCAAAATAACTGCTTGTAGTGTAGACACGGACTATGTTATTTTGGAGTAACTGACATTATTCCAAAATAACACCCCAAGAAAACTGTTGGACATAAAGTATAGAAAAATGGATAGAGATTTTTTTGGGATGAGTGATAGTGAGGGAAAGGATGCAGTCTCTTTCCTCAGAGGGTGCTGGTTGTCCTTCCAGAAGTTACACTGTACTTTACTTGCAGTGCTGGTATGCTCTCATAGTTCTCACTAGAGGAACAAAATAAGAGTCTTTCTTTTGTAGCAGGAGCCTTCAGACTGGAGGTGAAATGCATATCACTGACTTGATCTTTTTTATTCATGTTAGGCTTGAATTACCATGTCAATCCTGGCCACTGGGAATGGAATGGAGGAGAACCTGTCACCTTCACAAATTGGAGAAGAAGACCATCTCACAGTTCAAAGCAAGGAAAGAATTGTGTTTTGGTACAAAGGCGAGGAAACTGGCAAGCAAAAGACTGTAGGAAGGGTAATCGGCATAACTATGTCTGCTCAAGAAAGCTGTAAATAAAATTGACACTCATCCCCATCTGGCCTTTCTTGTGCACAGAATGAGTAACTTCTATATTTGCAGTGTAATGAGGGTATAAGTGTAGACAAAAAAATTCATTATTATCAAGGTTTATTTTTATACTCCTATTGTGATATATTTGTGTCAAATCAAGTGACTGTGGTAGTAGCACTGTGCTAAGCATAGCCAGAAAGTGGTGGGCAAATAGGCTTGTACTAGAGAACGCTTCAAATTCAAGCACCACTAAGGTCCAGAATATTTGGCTCTTGGTTTTGGTTTGAGCTCATTAAAACAATAGAAGCCACTAAATTCAGACTTGAATCCAATTTCAGTTTTCAAACACCTCCAAAGTATTTGGATTTGTCACTTGTTCTGAAGAGATGCCCATAGACTAAAGCCTTAGATCTTATACCTAACTGCTATTTATATCTATTCATTTATTTTAAAACAAAAATAAACTAACACAACAGTCCACTTGCAGGTTCCATGATTGGTGAATGTAAATTGTCTGTTGAATTCAGCCACAATAAAACCTACAGTTCTATTAGCTTTCTTTGTCACTTGCAGTTATAAGGAAAGAAGGAGAAGAGGGGCGGGGTAACAGGCTTATCTGCCAAGTGAAGTCTGTTTCTGATATTGAGGTGCTATTAGGGATCTTAGTGCTTCTGTCATTGTTGTCCTAGCATAGCACCTGATCCAGAATTCACTGGAGTCCATGGGAAGAATCCCAGTGAGAGTTAGATCAGGCCCACTGTGCAGAACTGCCGTGGGGAAGGAATTCCGCTTTTGTCTTTTCCCCACCTTGCCCACCTGCACAAGTCCAGCCATAATCTAAGTTCAAGGACTTTAGCTCCTAATTGGATCTGCCCACCTGGACCCAAATGCAGGTATAACACTTACAGATCTGGCACCTTTTTACAAATTTAAGTTTATTTCTTACAAAGTTTTTAAAAACTCAGAATTTAATTGGAAGAAAAACTGCTAGAAAAATAACTTCTTAATGTTATTACTACTGCATACGTACTGTACTCACTATAGAGTTGCTTTGTCTAATGAATCTCTCAAAGGAACCTTTTTGCCTCAATACCTAACAAAGGGTATGTCTACACTACAGCACTAATTCGAACTAACTTAATTCAAATTAGTTAATTCGAACTAAGCTAATTCGAACTAGTGCATCTAGACCTAAAAACTAGTTCGAATTAGCGTTTTGCTAATTCGAACTAGCATGTCCACATTGAGTGGACCCTGAACCAAAGTTAAGGCTGGCCGGAAGCAGTGCCAGCAGGGCATCAGGTTAGGACTTAGTGTGGAGCTGCTGCCTCAAGCTAGCCGAGGGCTGTGCTTAAAGGGACCCGACCCCCACCCTGGAAAGACAGTTCTCAGGGTTCCCCGCTTGCTTGTTTACCTCGATGAGGGATAGCAAATCAGTCCTGTCTTGGAGTGCCCTGAGTGTCCACACTTGGCACATCACAGCACTCGGCCATCAGCCCGGCTGCACTTGCCGCAGGCTGCCATCCAGGGGGGTCAATTGAGGGGCTGTCAGGATCCAGGAGACCCTGCAGGAGAGCTTCCACCCCGAGGAGCCCGCAGAGCCACCCCA